ATGCGGCCCCACGGGAAATGGTGCGGATCCTGAAACACGGGGGAGGCCACGACGAGGCTATCAAGATGGCCCGCAGTTTTCGGTGTGATATCTGTGACGAAAACAAGCTGCCGAAACCTTCTGGGACTGTATCGGGACACCGTATTCTGGAGTTCAACAAACAGGTAGGGCTCGATTGTATGAACATTCCCGGATGGAAGGGGCCAACTCACACGGTACCGGCCCTAAATATCGTGGATGATGCCTCTTCGTTTCAGACGGTTGTGCCGCTATTGCAGGGGGAAAACTCTGGGACCATACGAGAGGGGTACCGACAGTTTTGGAAGCGCTGGGCCGGACCAGCCGAGCGCATTGTGGTAGATGCCGGGAAGGCAAACATCGGTACTGCTCTGACGGACCCCTTAGAGCTCGAACAGACTGAGATTGTGCCTGTGGCGGGGGAGGGACAATGGCAGAACGGGAAGACAGAATCGCACGGGGGGTGGTGGAAACGTGTGTTCAAGAAGCTGTTGGAGACAGCTCAGCCACAGAATTATGAGGAGTGGGCCGAATGTGTCGACGCGACAACTGATGCCAAGCAGCGGATGCTGCGGGTGGACGGTTACTCTCCTTACCAGCACGTGCTGGGTCAGGAGCCTCGTTTGCCTGGCGATTTGCTTCAAGATCAGATAGATGTGGTCAGTGCCGCCGGCCCCCTTTACGACACCGCGTGTGCGCGCTCGCGGACGATCCGACAATATGCGATGCAAGCTTTGTTACAGGCCCGGGACGACCAGGACCTTCGTCGAGCTGTCGCAGCCCGCAACCGGGTGACACATCCTTTCCAACCTGGGGACAAGGTGGCTTACTGGAGGAAGGGGAAAAAGGCTCATGCCCGATGGCACGGGCGCGGAATCCTTATTGGCCAACAGGGACGTAACTGGTGGTTATCACACCGGGGACATCTCATTCGTGCCGATCCTTCACAACTACGCCCAGCCTCGACCAGCGAGGTACAAGCGGATCATCTCGTGGAGCAAGTGCTCCAAAGTGAGCAGCAGAAGCTCAGCACTGTTGGGGGACACCTTCACTTTCTCGACCTTACCCGACAGGAGTACCCACCTGGAGTTTCGGCTCCAGATCCCGAGAGTGCACCCGCTGAAAGCCCTCCTGAGGTACCCCAAGCTGCTGTGCGACCCGAAGGGCCTCCAGAGAGTATGATGGAACAAGGACCCCCAGTGCCTCAAGAGCCTCCTACCAGACCCTCTCCGACTCCTGCTGTAGGTCCGACGCCGACCTCACGACCACCACGACGACGAATGACGCTAAAACGACCTGCTGACGATACCACGACGGATACCCGACCACGACGACGACCCAACACGAGACGACCGAGCGACGACGGGACCCAGTCAGTGCCCCAACAGCCTCCGAGGTCCTCCTTTGACGATGCACCCGATCCAGATCTGATTCCTGACGGAGATGAGGAGGGCCTTATCCCAATGATAGCTCCTGAGGATGTTGCTCACGAGAACCTACCGTTCCTCCTCCAGACGACCCGAGCCCCGTCTCCGGTGCGTGACAAGCTGCTGGCCCAGGCCGAGGGACCTGAGACCGCGGCTTTTGCGGCAGCTGCCATCGACCACATCCAACGGACGGAAAACACGGATGTGGCAGCATGGCGACAACCTTTTACGGCGCTTCTGGCAGGAGCCATTTCTCGCCGCGGCCGCAAGGAGCTCAGTTTCAAGGGCGCCTCCAGCGAGCTTTTACGCAGAGCCGAGACGGCACGGGCCCTGGAGATTGATAACCTGATCCAGAAGGGTTGCTTACGGGTGATCCCCAAGAAAGAGGAGCAGGAGGTCAGGACGACATGGGAGAAGCGGTTTATCCCGGGACGTTTTGTGATGACCGAGAAGGAGGAGGAGGGCCAGCCGACTCGGGTCAAGGCCCGGTGGTGTCTTCGGGGATATCTGGATCCAGATTTGCCGGAACTGATTCAAGAGGGAAAACTGCAGAGCCCGACTATCACGCCCTTCGGCCGAGCCGTTTGCTTCCAGATGGTGGCTAGCCACCAGTGGGATCTGCAATTCGGTGATGTACACTGTGCTTTTCCGGAAGCCAAGAACATCAAACGACGGGAACCACTTTTTACGACGCTGCCCAAGGGAGTTCCTGGACATCCTGAGGGGGAGATCCTGGAAGTTGTCGGAAACCTGTACGGGAAAAACGACGCCCCCTTCGAATGGTTTCAGGAGTTCGACGGTTACCTGCAACGACTTGGCTTCCGTTCTAGCCGCCTTGACCCTTGTCTGTACTTTTTGCGAGACCAGGGCAAACTGGCCGGGGTGCTGGCTTGTCATGTGGACGACAGTATCACTGGTGGTGCCGGTCCTAAGTACACTGAGGCCATCCGACTCCTGCGCGAACGTTTTCCGTTTCGGAAGTGGCAAGTACACCATGGGGAATTTTGCGGAACCAACTACACTCAGGACCCGAAAACGAAAATCATCCAGGGGAACCAGTCCAAGTTCGTGGAGAAAATGCGGCCCGTTCGATTCAGTCGTCAACGACTCCGGGACACGAAAGCCAAAGCGACCGACTACGAGATAGCCCAGGGGCGATCCTGTTTTGGAGACGGTGGCTGGGTGTGCAAGGAAACTCGACCAGACCTTTCTTGCCAGGTGTCTTTTGGACAGAGCTGTTTCCCGTCGCCGACAGTGGGAGAGCTTGCCCAGGGTGCTGCGATGGTACGGAGGGCAAAACAGTATGCCGACCTTGCCATCACGTACCTACCGATACCGCCCGATCAGCTGACGATGATCGCTCATTTGGACGCTGCATGGGGGAATGCCAAAAACAACGGGACTCAAGCGGGGTACATCTTGGCTTTTACATCTAAGGATATGGCCACCGGACACGAGGCCCCTTGGACTCCTTTCAACTGGAGATCCTTTCGGCTAAAACGACTGGTGCCAAGTACCTTATCGGGAGAGGCCCAAGCGGCTTCAATATGCTGTGCCGCTCTAGAATGGATGTCGCTGCTGCTGTACGAGGCCCTCGATGGGCCCCTCGAGATCGGAAACATCGATGCCTGCATGAACACCCGGGAGCCGATCGTCGTGACAGATTGCAAGTCATTATATGATCACGTGAAGGCCAATACGTCTCCATCTAGCCTAGAAGACAAGAGGTGTGCTATCGACGTGGTGGTGATTAAGGATTCGGTCCAACGATGTGGTGCTAGCTTTAGATGGTGCCCGACAAACCGACAGTTGGCGGACGCTCTGACAAAGGACAAAGGGGACCCAGCGGACCTCCTGAGGGCCTGCATGAGAGCCCATCGGTACCAGCTTGCCGATGAAGAGTATGTGCTAGAATTGAAAGCGAACGAGCGAGAAAACCGAAGGTTGCGGGGTGCCCAGAGGAAAGAACAATCAACCAGGACACCAGGGGGTCCCAAAATGATTGTGTCGACCTCACCACGGGAATTAGAATGACCGACGGTTCTGGGGATAAGACGTGTGCCGTGTTCTGCTATGTACATCACCCACGGTATGCGTTTGCACGACATGTGTTCGCAAGCGTTATTTCAGTTATTTGTGCACCGACGGTACTGACTAAGAGATGCTGTGTTTGCGCTGTGTACTCCACCCACGGTATGCTCTACCTTGTATGCGTACGCTTACGTTGCCATTTTTGTTGTGTGTCGAGCCAATCTTTCAGGCCACGGTTGAACAGGTCTACCCTTGCGACGACTTGTGCCCAGTCGCCACTACAGAGCGGTGTGTGGTGGTGCGTGCTGTTCCGCACGATGCCCACCAAGAAGGAAGAGCGTGCCGACCCTCCCGGTGTGACCGGCGAGGATTTCGCTCAGCGCCTCCACTTGACCCGACTTCGTGCCAAGGGAGAGCAGGAGTCCGAGACGGTGCTGCGTTTCGGGAAGCACAAGGGGAAGGAGTATGAGGTCGTCTGGGAGGCCGACCCCGGTTACTGCTCGTGGTGCGTGACTCACTTGAGCCCCACGAGTGGACCCAGTCAGTCGAGCTGGCTCCAGTTCCTGGTGGAGAAGAGCGAGAGCGGTGCCCAGCGCTCCGGTGTGACTTCCAGCGGTGACGTCGTCAAAGCCGACTCCACTTTGGTCGACCAGGTCAAGAGCCTCGAGGATGCCGTCGAGAACCTCGACAACCGCCTCTCGTGGCTCGAGGCGGCCAACAAATTTGAGGAGCTGGACGGCAAGATCGAGAGGCTGGAGACCCAGGTCCACCAGCTCCAGCACGGCGTGACGTGCATGGTGGAGGCCCTGAAGACTTTCGGCGTGCCGATCAGCCTGCAGTAGCAGCTGAGGCCCCTGGACAGCTAGGCAGGCGGACACTTGCCCGGGCTGCCACTCCCCCTTTTTCCTTGTACTGCTACTGTTTCAGAAAGGATTTTAGAGGAGTGTTTTTGTCAGTATGAGCCACAGACCAATGTCATGTAGCTTGTTGTGCTCTCAGTGTCTTGTTCTGTTCAGTGCTCAGCCCGTCACATATGCGTGCCGCTGCTGTTTCGGACCAGGGGATATCACGAGAGTGCGGGGCGCCCGGTAGACCCAAAAAGAGTTCCTTCAGGGCTTCGGATGTCAGCCAGTGGGAAGCTATGGCTTTCCCAGAGGGGGAGGGTGAAGAGGAGGTTGAGGAGGAGGAGCAAGAGGAGAGAGGAGGAGGAAGGAGGAGGAGGAGGAGAGAGGAGAGAGGAGGAGGAGGAGGAGGAGGAGGAGGAGGAGGAGGAGGAGGAGGAGGAGGAGGAGGAGGAGGAGGAGGAGGAGGAGGAGGGGAGGGGAGGAGGAGGAGGAGGAGGAGGAGGAGGAGGAGGGAGAGAGGAGGAGGAGGAGGAGGAGGAGGGGGAGGAGGAGAAGGAGGGAGGAAGAGGAGGAGGGAGGAGGATCCCTGGCCTCGGAGGGGGAACGCCACCCTCCTGGTCCCCCGCTGCTCTCTCGGGCAGTGTGGCCGCGGCAGGCCAGCAGGCGGCACGGCACGGGCCTCCTCGCTGAGGCCGATGGGCGCCTTCACCAAGGTGGAGACCTGCGCTGAGAGGGTGAGGCAGGGTGGAGAGGACGAGGAGGAGCAGAACGAGGAGATCGCGATGGGGCAAAAGAAAGAGTAGGGAGCCAGATGCGAACCCTACCCCTACCCCCAACGATTTCTGATCTTGGGGGGTAGGGGTAGGGTTCGCATCTGGCCTGGCCCCCTAAAGGGAGCACCGCCACGAACGTGCAACGCTCGGAGGTGTGCGCGGAACCCCTGGATCGGAGCTGGACCCCCTTCCCCGGCGAGCGGAGCGCGCCAAGGGCGCCGCCGGACGAGCACCCAAGGGGGGGGGGATGGGGCGCCGACCCGACAAATCCGCGCGCAGCATTGAGCAGGGACCGACCGTCCCGGCATTCCTATGGTCCCACCACGAAATGTTCTTTGAGCCCACAAAGGTTCGAAGAACAAAAACAATGCTCTCAAAACATACACCCGAGATGACGAGAAGAAACAACAGTCCCGACCGGAAGTGTTCTAAGAACATTTCGTGGGAATAACAGAAGGTTCTTAGAACGTTCTTTGGTAGGACTACAGGCACGCCGGGACACTTCGCCACTGCTTGACAGCATCAGCACGGTGGGAGCTCGCGCACGTGCCGTCCGCGCGCGAGCCCAGCGAAGAGAGGCCGCGGTGCAGATCCCCGGCCCCAAGGCGAGAGGGGTGCAGGCCAGACTCCGGGAGGCACCGGCCACGCGGGCGGGGCAGGGCCGGCGACTCCGAGGACTGTGGTTGGTCAAGGGTGTGGTTTGCAACCGGCACCATGGGGGGGGGGCACCCTGGGGGGCAGGCGAGGACCTCGATATATATATATATATATATATATATATATATATATATAAACTCTCCGCCGCGCCCCGGAGGCCCGACGCGGACAGCATCGTGCCCCAACCCGCAGTACCCTCCGTGGTCGCCGGGAGAGGGCCAGCGAGGGCCTCCTGCTTCTCCGGCGTGAGCTTCACCTTCTTCTCCTCGGCCTGCGGCGGCCGTGGGGCTGCTTCCGGGGGGCGCCAGGGAGGCGGCCGCTGCCCGGGGGCGAGCGTGGGCCAGGGCACGGGCTTCTCCCTCCCTCCCCTCTCGAGGGGATAGGAGGAGGAGGAGGAGGAGGAGGAGGAGGAGGAGGAGGAGGAGGAGGAGGAGGAGAGGAGGAGGAGGAGGAGGAGGAGGAGGAGGGAGGGAGGGAGGGAGGGAGGGAGGGAGGAGGGAGGAGGGAGGAGGAGAAAGGAGGATGAGGGAGGATAGTCGTAAGGAAGAGGAAGAGGAGGATCGTGCTCCTCCTCCTCCTCCTCCTCCTCCTCCTCCTTGCCCTCCCTCGTCCCTCATCACCCTCCCCGTCCTCCTGCTCATCCGGCTGCTCCTCCGCCACCTCTTCCTCCTCTTGTGTACAGGGATCCAACCTTTTCTGCTTGCGCATCACACGATGGGGCCATTCGGGGGATCAATGACCTCCAGGACACCCAACGGATACAAATCATTCAGCACAATAGGCGTGCAAAAACACTCGAATGATTCCGACATGCGCGCGCGAAAGACCGGACGGCTTGGTCGCATCCGATGAACATGATGAACAGCCAATGGCTTTCTTGCTGAACTCATGTTTTTCCGATCCATCTTGTAGTGTTGGGTCCTACTTTGAAGAAACACCGCCCCGCGTCCCTCCCACCTCCTCCTCCCCCCGCTCCTCCATCCTCCCATCCCTGCCTCTGCCCTCCGCATGTTTGTGTGTCGGCGCACCCAGTGCAACGCGTCGTAAAATCGTAGGGAGCTGCACCGAAGGCCCCAGCGGCAAGGTCCACATGACCATTTTGGCGCACCTCTCACACGGTTCAAGGCCACATCGGGGGGTTCGCATGGCGGTGCCGCCCCGTTTTGGCGCACCCCTCACATGGTCCGTGGCCCCATAGGGAGCTCCACCGAAGGCCTCATGGCAGGGTCCACGTGGCGGCGCCGACCAATTTTGGCGCATCCCTCACACGGTTCGTGGCTCCATAGGGATCTCAGCGGGCGGCCGCAGTGGCGGGGTCCACATGGCGGCGTCGCTCCTTCATGCGGCTCCCTCACACGGTTCGTTGCCCCATGGGGGGCTCCACCGAAGGACCCAGTGGCGGGGTTCGCATGACGGTGCCGCCCCATTTTGGCGTACCCCTTAAAGTCGTGCCACAACACGGTACTCACAACTGCATATGGTTGGGTCCTTCGCCTGAAAAATCTACCTGTTTTCGGGACGCTCGATTTTGACATGCGAGAACACAAGTTTTGAAGAATTTCGGCACGCGCGCGCAACAACTCGCGCTTGTGGACCTCATCAAATGTGGTGCAAGGGATTCTTGCAAACGGATGATTCTTGGTAAGCAAAGGCGCTTGCATAGTTTTCTTCGACGAGGACGAAGGGGGGCCAAAGGGGTGTGGCGGCGATGCTATGAAGTCATAGGATGAACGGTGGGGCAGAATCGCATGTACATTGCACACCCACAGGGAGGCCGGAGAACCCCAGGGGGTGGGGGTGGTAGATCCGAATCTCCTCTCATGTTGGAGAATTAATGTGGCGCAACCTATGTGGCGCAATGCAGCGCAAGCAATAACAAAAAGCAAAGCGATGCAAATCAATACACAGCTACGAAAAACAACGCGAAACAATGCAGAACCAGATAAAGCACGGCGTGGCAATGCAAAACAATGCAATGCAAAACAAGGCATTGCAATGCAAGAGAGTGCCAAGTAATGCAGGCTCAGACGTCGGGCGGCGAGAGGGCGGCGACAGCGACAACATTGACGACGGGCGGCGACGAGGTGGCGACGGGGCGGCGACGGCGACAACATTGCCGCCAGACCGCCACACCGGCCCAGACGACGGGCGGCGACCAAGCGGCGACGGGGCGGCGCCAATGATAACAGAGCCGCCAAAGCGCCACATCAGCCAATTTCCTGAGAAACGGAATATGACCCCCCAAGAGCAAGCACTGTTTGGGAATCCATCTACATATATGTATATCGAGAGAGAGGGATGTGTACTAGAACCACGCGCGCGCTACGCGCGCGCTTAGGTTCTAGTCACGGCTGCGCCACGTGTTGCTGATCTCGTGTTCGCTCGTCTGATTTGCAACTTGGCGAAGTCCGGCGCTTGTGGGCGTGGCAGAGCCTCCATCCGCCCCGCCCCCTTCCCCTTCCTCCTCCTCCTCCTCCTCCTCCTCCTCCATCGTCTTCTGCGTCGGGGGGGGGGGGGAGGGGGAGAACGAGGAGGAGCAGGAGAAGGAGGAGAAGGAGCAGGAGGAGCAGCAAGAGCAGGAGCATGAGGAGCAGCAGCAGGAGGAGGAGCAAGATGAGCAGGAGGAGCATCAGCAGATGGAGGCGGCAAGAAGGAGTCCATAATAAACCCAGGATGCACGGACAATGCTGTAGTACACCTTTCCGTCCCATGCATGCTCCTCACGAGTCCCATCAAGCATTCTTTTTTACCTAACAGCGTAGACTGATAGGTTTCTAGTTGACTCAAAAGAGCTCACAGATCACTCCACAGGGGGGTCCGGGCAGGTGTTGGGAGTTGCCGGGCGGGTTGTGTCCACTTCGTTTTTCACCAACAGTCACACACTTCGTGCTCTTCGAGTTCCCAGAACTCCATTCCCAGGCTCATTCTGAATAACCGGATGCAACAGTCACACACCTCGTGCTCTTCGAGATCCCAGAACGCCATTCCCGGGCCACTTTTAGAATAACCGGATGCAACAGTCACACACTTCGTGCTCTTCGACATCCCATAACGCCATTCCCGGGCCACATTCTGGAGGGCCGGATGCAACAGTCACACACTTCGTGCTCTTCGAGTTCCCAGAACTCCATTCCCGGGCCACATTTTGGATGCCCGGAGCCAACTGTAGGCCACTTCGTGCTCTTCGAGTTCCCAGAACTCCATTCCCGGGCCACATTTTGAATGCCCGGAGCCAACTGTAGGCCACTTCGTGCTCTTCGAGTTCCCAGAACTCCATTCCCGGGCCACATTTTGAATGCCCGTAGCCAACTGTAGGCAACTTCGTGCTCTTCGACTTCCCAGAACTCCCATTCCTGGGCCACATTTTCAGCAGGGGCAAGAGCACGACGAGGAGGAGGACGAGCAAGACCAGGAGGACGAGGACGAGCAGGAGCAGGACGAGGAGCAGGAGGAGCAGGAGAAGAAGGACGAGCAGGAGGAGGAGGAGGACGAGCAGGAGGAGGAGGACGACCAGGAGGAGGAGGACGACCAGGAAGAGGAGGAGGAGGAGGAGGGGAGGGGGAGGAGTACCAGGAGGAGGAGGAGGAGGAGGAGGAGGAGGAGGAAGAGGAGGAGGAGGAGGAGGAGGACGAGGACGAGGAGGAGGAGGAGGAGGGGGGGGGAGAGTACCAGGAGGAGGAGAACGAGGACCACCCAGGAGGAGGAGGAGGAGGAGGAGGAGGAGGAGGAGGAGGAGGAGGACCAGGAGGAGGAGGACGAGCAAGACGAGGAGGACGAGAACGAGGACGACCAGGAAGAGGAGGAGGAGGAGGAGGAGGAGGGGAGGGGGAGGACTACCAGGAGGAGGAGGAGGAGGAGGAGGAGGAGGAAGAGGAGGAGGAGGACGAGGAGGAGGAGGAGGAGGAGGACGAGGAGGAGGAGGGGGGGGGAGAGCACCAGGAGGAGGAGAACGAGGACCACCAGGAGGAGGAGGAGGAGGAGGAGGAGGAGGAGGAGGAGGAGAGAGCACCAGGAGGAGGAGGACGAGCAAGACGAGGAGGACGAGAACGAGGACGAGCAGGAGGAAGAGGAGGAGGAGGAGGAGGAGGAGGAGCAGGAGAAAGAGGAGGAGGAGGAGGAGGCAGGCTGAGGCTGAGGCTGTGACTGCGACTGCCGTTGCCGCTGCGACTGTCATCGCGAATGCGACTACGACTGCGAGAACAGCAGCATTCGACAACTGGATTTTCATCTGAATCTTAAGGGGAATGCTTTCAGATATGCTTCTACACATCGCTGTTAGGTTGCTTTGCCGGGATAATTCAGAACCAGAGGATTCCCTTTGAAAGATGAGTGCCCCGTGGGCCGTGGTGGACTTGAAACAAACATATGTGTAAGTACCCTATGTTTCAAGTGCTCTTCGGGCCTCTTGTGTGTGTGTGTGTGTTTGTTTGTTTTTGTGCGTGTGTGTGCGTGTGTTTGTGTGTATGTGTGTGTTTGGACCTCTTCGTGGCCCCTTTGGACCCTTGGCGCTTTCTTGGGAGCCTCTTGGGGCGTCGTGGGGGCCTCTTAGGGCCACCCGGGGGGCTCTTGGAGTGAAGATCTGGGGTTCTCCTTTCGCGTTCCCTTCTCGGGCCGCTGACGGGGAGCGTCTGGGGCTCCTCGTGGGGCCGTTCCGGGCGTTTGGGGGCCATCCACAAGCCTCCGAAGCCCATCGGTTTCTGAAACATCTTAAGCTCTCGGGGCCATTTGGGAAACCTCTGGGGGCCTCTTCTGGACCTCTGGGAGCCGCTTGGGGGCGTCGTGGAAGCGTCTTGGGGATCCTGGCCCATCTCCGGGCCAACCTGGACCATCTTGGCGGCCTCTTGGGACGTCTTCAGGCCATCCCGGGTCGTTTTGGAGTCTTCTTGGGAGGCTCTGGAGCGCGCTCGAAGATGTCCTGGAGGCGTCTGGGGCTCCTCATGCAAGCATCTGGATAGTTCGCTCGGATCTCGTGACAGGTCTCTCGGGGGCCTCCTGGAAGCGAATCCGAGACCTCTTGGGGCACGTTCTGGAGCCTGTCGGGGGCTGTTTGGGGGCTGTTCGGGGGCCTCTTGGGGGCCTCTGGGGGCCTCTTGGGGGCCTCTTGGGAGCCTCTTGGGAGCCTCTTGGGGGCCTCTTGGGGGTCTCTGGGGGCCTGCTTCAAATATCCGTTCGGGTACCCCCTCTAAGCCCCCTCCTGGGGCCGTCCTGGGGCCTTCATGGGCTGTCTTGGGGGCCTCTTGGGCCTTCTTGGGGCTCTCTTGGGCCGTCTTAGAGCCCTGTAGGGAGCCTCTTGGGCCGTCTTGGGGTGATCTTTGAGGCCTCGCGGGCCGTCTTGGATGCTCTGAAAGCTCCAAAGACGAACATTGTAAAAATATACGCTTTCCAACGGGAATGAAACCATGTTTGCATCTTGAGGCCTTCTTGGGAGTCCTCTTGGGGGCCTCTTGGGGCGTCTTGGGGGCCTCCTGGGCCGTCTTGTGACCATCTTGGGGGTGTTGGAACGATGTTCTACGGGCGCAGCCCGTAATTTGATTTTCGGGAAGTAGAAAGAACTGACTGACATAAATGACTGACAGAACTGAACTGAATCACCATATCCGCTAGATGGCAGTTTTTTCGGGGGGTGAGGATATTTCTCTGGCAGGTTTAGGTCAGGGAGTGTGAGGATACTTCGCTGGCAGTTTTAAGTCCAGGGGTTGAGGATATCTCGCTGGCAGATTTCGGCCAGGGGGTGAGGATATTTTGCTGACAATCTTAGGCCAGGGGGTGAGGATGATTCGCTGGCAGTTTTTAGCGAGGGGTGTGAGGAGATTTCGCTGGCATTTTTTAGTCAGGGGGTGTGAGGATATCTCGCTGGCAGTTCTAAGTCCAGGGGTTGAGGATATCTCGCTGGCAGATTTAGGCCAGGGGGTGGGGATATATCGCTGGTTATTTTAAACCAGGGGTGTAAGGATATTTCGCTGGATTTTTTCAGGCCAGGGGGGGAGGATATCTCGCTGGCAGTTTTCAGCGAGGGGTGTGAAGATATTTCGCGGACACTTTTAAGTCCAAGGGTTGAGGATACTTTCCAGGCGTAACCAAGCAGCACCATGTGCCACGCACCAGCGGCCAGAGTGATCGGCGGATTGGGCTGAGGCTCAATTCGTTGGTCTGGGGTTCGGGGCGCATCATGCACCCACAGCGTTGGAATTTGGATCACGTTCGACATTGGATGCAGTATTGGGTCTTCCCCGGCCTGGCCCAGCCGAATGCATCGCATCGAGTGCGGTGCTGCGCCCGTATATATGCTCGCCCCTTGGCGTAGGGCTGGCGGGGGACCAAGGGACGAGCTGTCTGGTGAATTGGCGACCTCGGGCCGCCCGGGAGCAATTTGCAAGCCTGCCGCACGTACCTGGCAGGGCCAAATGCCGCCCAGGGAAGGGGTCAGAGGCCGGGTACTCAAATCAGGGCTCCGCGGGGCCCCCGGGCCCCCCTCCAAAGTTATTTAGGTATATCGTTATCTATATATATATATATATATATTTACATATACAACTTCGCTTCTGTGGAGCTGGACCTGTCTGTTGGCTTGGCGGCCCCGTTCCCGTCCGTCGCCGCACTGTCTTCCCCACTGCAAGGCCCGTCTGCTGGCCCATGCGGCCCCGTGGCCGGCCGTCCTGCCGCCCCGTGGGCCCCCCCTGTTGCAACACCTCCTCCTCCTCCTCCTCCTCCTCCTCCTCCTCCTCCTCCTCCACACCCCCGTTCGCCTTGCAAGCCTTGAATTGCTTTGCACTGCGTCGGATTGCGTTACATCGCATTGCTTTGCCTCGTTTCGCATCGCACTGCGTTGCTTTGCGTTGCGTTGCATGGCGTTGCGTTGCTTCGCATTGCGTGGCGCATTGCTGTACACTGCGTTGTAATGATCGTGTCTTGGTCCACATATGTTTGCATTGAATTGCATTGCTCTGCAAGGCTCTGCACTTGTTTGCATTGCTTTGCACCACACAAACTGCGCCACGTTGATTACACGAACTAGATTGGGCCACCTGGATCGCACCACATGGATTGCACCGCATAGATTGCAATACGTGACTGGTAAGGGTCCATGTTGGCTAACATGTGCAAAACATGTGTAACCTTGCCTTCAGGCGTATCTGTCGGAGATCTCGGGCGTTGTGGGTGCCTCTCAGGCGCGTCTTGGGGGGGCCGCTGGGGCTTTTTGGGGCCTTCTGGGAGCCTCCTGGGGGCACCTTGGGTCGGGCAAGTGGATCGTGGACTCGGGCTTCCTCTCGTGGGCTGCTTTTGGCGTCGTCTGGGAGCTGTCTTGGGCTGCCTTGTGCGCCTCTGGGCCTCGCTTGGGGCTGTCTTGGGGCCCTTTTGGACCGTCTGGGGGCTCTCTCGGGGGGTACCTGGGGCGTCTTGGGGGAGGGTCGGACGGTACTTTGGCAACGTTGAAGGCATTGAGCAAAACTGAAGCGCAAATGCTGAAAATGTAGGTTTTCCCACAAGGAATTTCACGATTCTGGCGCCTCGGAGGCTTCCGGGGCAGATCCTGGGAAGTCTCGTGAGGGTCTGGGAGCGCTCTGGGACCGTCTGGGTGACGCCTTTTGAACGATTAGGGGCTATTTCCCCATGGCGCGTTCGGAAGCGATTAAAAGGTGCCTGAAGGCGGTTCTTCGAGCTTGCAGCGCGCTTGGAAGCGATCTGGGAGCGGTCTCGGAACCCTTGTCCCCCCGTGCGCCGCCGTGGTCCCTGGGCGCGGCCAGGGAACCTCGTCCCCCGGGATACACACATATGTATACATATATATATATATATGTATATATATGCATACATACAAATATATACACAGACATACATACATACAGACATACAGACATACATACATACATACAGACAGACAGACAGACAGACACACACACACATGTATGTATATATATATATATATACAAGACTGCAGTGGCGCTTCGCGCCATGCACCTTGGTCCTTGAAGTTTGGTATGCAGGCGGCATGGCAGGAAAGTCAAGCCGACAATTTAGCGATAACTCCTGTGTGCCTTTTCCGGCATCGCCGCTATAATGATGTTATTCGTTATCCTTCCTCCATGCTTATTGTTCCTTATTTTCGCCATACCCTGCGCATTATCCCCATCCTCCTGAGCTCTTTTTTGCAGAGGCTCCTCCTTGGAGAGCCTCTAGGGACCTCACAAAAGTTGTTTCGGGCTTTCTTAAGGCCTTCTGGAGGCCTCCTGGGCGTATTCTGGGGGCCTCCGAGGGCTTCCTCGGGCCACCCTGCCTCCAACCGCCGTCTTCCTGAACGACCGAATCACGATTTGGAATTCTTCGGAGGGTGTCTTTGGGCCATCTTGGGCCGCCATGGGGCTCTCTGAGCGCCATCTTGGACCCGTGTTGTGCCGTTCTGGGGTTCTCTTGGACTGCCTGGAAGACCGTTCGGATGGTTGCGGGGCGATTTGGGAGCCTCCCAGGCGGCTCCGGACGCCCAGAAGACCGCCGCCTTGGAGCGTCGGGAAGCCGAAAAGAGGAGAACCCCCAAATTCACAAAAAACCGTCAGAAAATCAATGATTTTTGCCTCGGGGGGCCTTCTTGGGAGTGCTCTTGGAGGCCTCTTTGGGGCCGTCCTGGAGGCTTGGGCCATCTTGAGGTCACGTTGGTCACTCTTGGAGCGCTCTTGTGCTGTCTTGGGGGTCTTTAGGACGTCTCCGATGACCCCCCTGATCGCCCTAAGTGTGCTGGGAAGGCTTGGCAAAACGCTTTGCGAGGCCCGGTGGCCGCTTCGAGGCCCGTTCGGAGGGCCCCAAAGCTCCAGGTCCCCGGAGTCCGGTTTTTGGGGGGGGGGACGGGTTTTCCCCCCGCCCGGGCTTATAAAAATATAGGAAGAGGAATCTATATATATATATATATATATATATATATATATGTATGCACGTGCAACGATGGAGAGGGGGAGCCAGGGAAAGACAGAGAGAGAGAGAGGCAGCGAGGGAACGCTGGCTCTGGGCTCTGCCATTGCCTCCATCTCCTCCTCCTCATCCGCCTTCTCCGCTCCTCCTCTCCCCTCCCTCCTCCTCCTCCTCTCTCCTCCTCCTCCTCCTTCCTCCTCCTCCTCCTCCCCTCCCCCGCCCCATGCATCCACTTCGTCACTTCCTCAGCAGCATGAGCGATGACCGGTTGACATTGACACCGGTGTGCTGCGTTCCGAGCCCCACCTCCCACTGCAGGCGCCTGCTTGGCAGTCATCCACTTGAAATACTTCAGGTTGCCCACGTCGTCCGTGGCCTCGGGCTGCGGATGCATGGGCTGCCGAAGAAAACGCGGAAGGAAACAACTGAAACAATCACTCTGAATGAAACACGCTTCTGACGACATCACCGACAAAGACGAAACATCGTATGTCGCAGGTAGGTAGTGATGACGATGCGGCGATGAGAAGGCCTGCCTGTGAACGACATGTAGAATCTGGCGAAGTCGAGCGCAACTACGATAATATATGGAACATCTCCCGTCAACGATGAGTAAGATGTAGAACCTGGAGAAGTAGGACAAAATTGTGAGAACACATAGAACATCTTCAGTACGCAGTCGAACGACATCATATAGACGATCGAGAAGTGTACGAGAGCCACCGCTTGATAGGCATGCCCTGGTGCATGCAAACTGCCCTGCGACACTGCTTATGTAGATGCTGCTGGGTACTGGCTCCAAGCGACTTGCTTGCAAACGCGATGCGCCAACTCGGGCTGGCTGGAGCATCTGCACGCTGGCTACGTGTACAGAAGGCTTCCGCCTCTCCTTCCTCAAGTGAAGATGAGAACGGAGGCGAGCTCTAGGACATCAGCAGGTGGGTCAGCATATGGGTTTGTGAGTTCACCAATTCGACAAGTTGGGCCGTCTCATTATAGGTGGGGGACAACACAACACACGGATCACAAGCAGGTCAGTCCAATGTAACTGTTTGGACGAGACAGAGCACGCGATTGCATGGACTCTGGCCTCCCAGTTGCTGTAGGTAGGCAGCCCAACCTTCTTGAGCAAGTCTGGGTCGCTGATGGAGATGGTGCCCTCCACGATCTCCTGGCGCCCATGCGCGAAAGCCCACATGCCCATCGGATTGGCGTGAGTATGCCATAGAAAAACATTCGCAAATAACTTGTGTGTATTGCAGCAGCGCCAACCAGACGCTAGCAAGAACAATAACCGGCTTCGAGCAAACCAAACGGTAGAAATATCAGTACAAAAACACACACCACGGCATAACTACATACTTGCGAAGGTCCGCGGGGATTCACTGGATCGCTGCACTGCAGGAATCTCCTCCCGCACCACTTCCACATCGCGTCGGGGCGGTGCCGAAGGTGCCGCCACGGGTGATGGGAGTGGGTGGGGGGCTCTGGTGCCGATCCAAGAGATCCGCGGTGACTTCCGAATGTTTATGCTCATGTGTCGGGGCTTCTACCAGGTCAAGTAGGCGCTGGTGCTGGGAAGAAGACGTTCTTGAGCGGGCGTCGACGATATCCCCGCTCCCATTACACCGCGTTTATGCGTAAAAGCAGCCCGCACGTCAGGGCGGTGCCCACAAGATGGCCTCGGAAGCACAATGTGTGTGTATGTGTGCGTGCGTGCGTGAGCATGGTAATGCATATCCCGCGTGCTCGCCCTAGTCTGCAATATGGCAGAAGGCAGATCAACAACGAGAATACACTGCGCGCATCGCACCGCACGGATGCCAACATGCTGTCAAAACGGCACTATAGCAAACATGGCACACATGTCGCACGAGCACCAGCTTTCGAAAACATCTCGGCCAATAGTCGCTCAGCATGGGAAAGCAGGCGCAAACGCGCACGAACGAAAGAACAGCAATGAACACGAACGCTCGCACGCACACGAGAAACCAAGCATGCAAGCAAACACATAAACAGTAATGCACACATGCCGACATGGAAGCATGGGATAACGTGACCATGCATGCAAGCATACAGACACTTAAGCAAGTGCGCAGTCATGCGTGTAAACAAGAGGAAGCCATCCACACATGCAACAACTCAGTAGTGCATGCGTTCTGGTAGCATGCATGGAGTGGGCAAGTGTGCAAGCACGCAATCATTGAACTACGGTGCACGGCAACACCAACATACAGAAAGGTTGAACAACACAAGGAGTTTGAACTTCTAGGTTGTCGCGTGGAGATCGCAGCCCCGAAGCGAGGCAGAGACCAAAACTAGGAGCTCTAAAACAAGAACAGGACCCGCGACGCGGCATGAAAAAAAGCAAGTGACGCCCTGGAACAGCAGGGGGGGATCTGGGGGAAGATCTGTCGGGAGATCTGGGGAGTGTCCAATGGAAGATTTGGCGCGGTTGCAAAGCGATACGCCTGGAGGAATATTTGGCGGAAGATCTGGGGGAGATCTAGGGAAACATCTCGGATATAGTATTTGGCGGGAAGTCTGGAGGAAGATCTGGGACATCTGAGGGAAGATCTGGTGGAAGATCTGGGCGAAAATCTGGGGAATGTGCGGAGGGATATTTGGCGGTGTAGTGCGTCGTAAATCTGCAGCAAGATTTGCGGGAAGATCCCGGGAAGATCTGGAGAAAGATCTGAGGGAGAAGATATGGGGAAACATCTGGGGGAAGATCTGGGTGAAGAAGATCTGGAGGACGATCTGGAGGAAGATCTGGGGGAAATTCTGGATCAATATCTGGGCGAATATATGGGTGAAACATAGAAAAGCTCTGTGGGACAACATCATGAAATATCAGAAGAGAGATCTGGGTGACGATTTGGAGGAAGACCTGGGGGAAGATCTGGCGGAAGATCTTGGGAAACATCCTGGGAGAGATTTGCGGAAAGATCTGGGAGACACTCTGGGGTAATATCTGGTGGAAGATCTGGGCGAGGATCTGGAGGAATATCTGGAGGAAGATCTGGGGAAGATCTGGGGGAAGATCTGGGGGAAGAGCTAGGGGAAGAGTTGAAGGGAGATCTTGGGGAAGATCTGGGGGAAGATCTGGGGAAAAATCTGGGGGAAGAGCTGGGGGAAGATCTGGAGGAAGATCTGGGGGAAGATCTGGGGAAGGATCTGGGGGAAGGTCTGGAGGAACAAATCTGGGGGAATATAACCGTGACCATTTTTTAACCAGGTTTTCGAGTATTACTCGCGCGATGACGGCAGGGCATGAAACAAAACAAAGAATTTTGCAACTATGATTTTAGAGTAGGCCCGCGAGACTGAGCCCAGGCATGCCGTCCTAGTTTTTTGACCTCCCTGTATGTAACCAAGCATACAAGCGGCCAAGCAAGCAAATTTACAAGATTGCATGCATTGGCGCAAGGGCGCAAACCATCTCACGCAAACAACCACTCCCACACGTAAGCAAACACATGCAAAAACACATGGTCAACCTCGCAATCACACAAGTAAACTGGCAACCGTGCGCGCCAGCCAACGTATAAAACAAGCTCGTAGACGATCAGTGATTCAGGTCAGCGCGCAGATTAGCTAACAAGCACATGCGCAGGATCGCAAGAGATGTGCCAATCATGCAGACGAGAAGGCGTGCAAACCCGCGTGCAGCCCCTCGCGCGCACCCCTCACGCGACCCGCGCCACGCCCGAAGGGAGCTCCACGTGCGGCTCCCCCGGGGGTGCTCACCCGTGCCGCCCCGCCCGTTCGGCGCACCTCTGGCACGCTCCGCACCCCCGTGCGAAGCGCCGCCCGTGGCCCCAGCGATAACCAGTCTCGAACGTATCCCTATCCCTAAGATGGGCGAGCAAAAAGCGAGGACAATCTTAGGGATGGGCCCTCAAAAACTGAGGGAATCCTTAAGATCGGCATCGAGGTGAGGTGATATGTTCCAGGCTGGTAAGGCGACGGGCGTTCGCGTGCGCCGCCCTGCCCGTTTCGGCACGCTCCGTGCACGCTTCGTGGCCCCACCGTGAGCTCCACGCACGGCCTCAGCCAGAACGTCCACGCGCGTCGCCCACTTGGTCGGCGCACCTCTGCCACGCTGCGCGGCCCCATAGGGGAGCTCCATCTGGGGCCCTGGTGAGGGCGTTCACGTGCACCACCCCACACATCCCGGCACACCCATCGCACGATTCTCCCCCTCACTGGCCTCAATGGGCGCGACCGCATGGCGCCTCGCCCTTCATGTCGGCTCACCTCCCACACGTTTCGATAGCACGCTTTGGTACTGCCCTGGGGGAACGTCCGTTACCTGGGGGGGTGGCGCGAAAGGGGGTGTCACGGTAACGAGGGGGCAGCGGGGGTTGTGTCAGCGACGCCTGCGCAAGTTTGGATGCGCGTCATTGACGGCGGCGAGGGCGACGATGACAACGACGAACGACGACGAAGACGCTGAGGATGATCACGTCTTCCAGACGCCCCCGGAAGCCCTGGGAAGTTCCTCTGGAGGACCCTGGGGCTGCCAGCAATTCCTCCAGATGGCATCGGAAATCCAGAACAGCACGACAACGTTACCGCAATATGCACCGCAGCGTGGCGGTCCAGTATAACAACAGCCTGCGAGCGAAGCAGCGTGCCTGTGAGAACCGCAGAGAGCCAGCGAGCACAACGTGCCTGTGACCACTGCAATGGTTGAGTTACCTCGCCACAGGCTTGTGTCACCAATGTGCCAAGTCCGGGTGGGACAAACGGACTGGCCATCAGGCCTGCGCGAACATAAACTCCAGCCACACAGACAAGTCCCTAGTTCGGATACGAACTAAGAATGCAAGACTTTTAGGACGTCCACGTCGGAATGATTGCTAAGGCACCAGACAAAGCAACTCCGAGATAGTAAGGTTACAGCCAAGGCTGAGAGCAAAGACTGCCTTGATGAACCATGGCAACATGTTGACCCTGTTTGAACCGCTGGGGGCCTTCAAAGAAACCTGGGGACCTCCGGTCTGGAAGTCGACATCGTCGTCGTCTTCGTCTCTCTTTTCTTCCTCCTCCTCCTCATCAACACTCTTCCTTGTCCGCTCGTATATGTTCTCATTATCCTCGTGCTGCTGCAACGCCATATCGAGATACTACGGCTTCAACATACACCTGCCCTCGTCGTGGGGGGCTCCAAACCACACATAATTGATTTCAACTACCACGCCACTCGGTTCCGCAACAGCCTGCGAGGTCCGCAGCGTAGCAATGCCCCGTTTGTGCTGCAAGCGCCACATCATGCCTGCCAACACCAGCAATACGCCCGCGAGCGCCAAAGCACAGTGACGGGCAACAGAAGTCCAGAGGGCACCGCCGCCACAAGATGCGCGTGGGCACCGCACTGCGCGCCACGCCTGCGCACGCCACACTGCGCACGCGAGCAACACGATGGTGCGCGAGCACCCCGGCAAGCAGAGCGCGTGGCCGCCGCAGCAGCCTGCGAACGGCACCACACGCATGCGAGCGTGAGGGGGGCGGGCGCCCCCCCTCCCGTGCGATCGTGACTGCCACGGCAGACCGGGCGAGGAGAGGAAGGAGGGGACAGGGTGGGGGGAGAGGACGTTACAGTCGGGCCGCTGAAAGAAGGAACCCTAAATAAGGAACGAAGCCCCTCCTTGGCCTTGGCCCTGCAAGCGCCTCCGAGCCCCATGAGGGCAAGAGGAACAGCACTGGAGGAACCTGAGGAACATCGAGCCCCTTCCGCACCTAAACTGTTCCTTACTTCAGCGTCTCGACTGTACCCCTCCAAGAAATAACAGCACCAAGCCCTCTGTGGCACCACAGGGAGCTCCGCTTGCGGCCCCAGCGAGGGCGTTCGCACGCGCTGCCCCGCCAAATGTCGACACACCCCTCGCACGCTCGTGCCCTCTATCAGGGGGCTCCACCGGCGGCCCCAGTGACGGTGTTCACGCCCGCCGCCCCACTCCCCCACACGCTTCGTGCCGCCATGAGGAGCCCGACCTGCGGCCCAAGCGAGGGTGTTCACACGCACCGCCTGGCCCATTTCGGCACACCGCTTACGCGCTTCATGCCCTCATATAGGGCAGCGAGGGTGTTCACACGCGCCGCCCCACCCAGTTCGGCATACCGCTCACACGCTTCATGCGGCGTTCACACGCACCGCCCCGCCCA